ATTCTACTTATATACATATTGTCTTTTAGAACTGATAGCTGATCATTATTAAAACACTGTTATATAAAAATAAACACCTTCCCTATCTAAATATACATTGGTCCCAAATGGAATGGGCAGTAGTCAAAATAGCTTACAGCTGAATAAGTTGTAAACATCCACGCAACTACTACACAGGAACAAAACTTGCAGCTCGGGTGCGGACGCCTTCCCTTAAGACAGGCCTAAGTTACACTTAACAAGCCATGCAGTGTGGTTTGCCAGTCTGCGATCATGCCATTAGGAACAGCTACAAGAGGGCAGCCTAAATGGCGAAAAATATAAATTGCGGAATGGTTAGCAGCTATCAAAAGCTGTGCTAGACTACGCTGCGTTTTGTTTTTGTTTTTTTGTCTTAAAGCCATAAGCCACTGCAAAAATTATTGAATTTCTTTATCAGAAACAAACAAGCAAAAAACACTTTGGATACAATTCAATGAAGGCTTTCTCTAAGTCATTTTGGTTGAAGGAGTCTTGGGCACCACCAACAATTCCACACAAGGGCGTTGATGCTTCGTGCTCTGTCTCTTTGGTTTTTCACTTGAGGAAGAGAAAAGAGAAGGATTAGTCCAGGGGTGTCAAACCCAAGGCCCACGGGCCAAATCTGGCCCACGGAGTGCTTAGATATGACCTGCAGGGCCACCTTGGAAACAGCAAAGGACCGGCCTGCAGGGCCTCTGCCAGTGAAAATGGAGCTTGGGACAGATGTGTGCAGCCCTCTTGAGCTCTGTTTTTGGGGGCAGAGGATTGCAGGAGGCTGTTGCAGCCGAAAACGGAGGTCGGGAGCCCGTTTTCACTGGCAGAGCGCTCAGGCCACCACAGGTGCCCCTGACATGAGTGATGTTGACTGGCCACACACCCCGCGAGGTCAAACTGATGCAGCCCTCGATGAAATTGAGTTTGACACCTCTGATTTAGCCAGCAAAACAGAAATCCACTGAACAACCCAGACAACTCCAACAAGGCTAGGATTCTTCCAGTATTTGGAATTGTATTTAAATAACATTTGGGATAGGGTTTTTCCTTCTTCATTTTGGTTTATAATTCACAAGATGAAAAGGGCACTTAGCTTGAGCCTTTGGGATTCAATTTAATCATCTCCTGACAACACGGGACTTTGTTAAGATAAACAATCTGTGTTACATTTTTACTAAGTTTCTGTTTAAAATAGAGAGCAAAAGTCAGCCCTCTTTCTCAGCGTTCTTCCACCATCAAGCATTTAATGTAAATAAAAAGATTTCTGCTTGGCAGAAATCTGACAGGAAAGCAGGAAACCAATTAGAAATTCTAATTCCATATTTTCCCCCCCAAACATCAAAACGTCCATATTTCTCTGAAGTTGCAATTTATGTGCTTGCGCACCTATCCCACATAATTAAATTGTGTTTTACAGGGCACAGATGCTGCAATGATAATAAATAACAGCAGTCAAATTATGCAGACATTTGCAAAAAAAACAACAGAATGCCCACAAAGAATGCCAATGTGCATATTGCCGAAAACGCAGCGATGTATTCGCAGAGTGAAAAATTTAAGTCTCCACAGACTTCCTATGTACAAATCCTGCAGGAAAGGCTGCATAAAAGAATTATTTCAAATATTCAGTTCCTTAGCTCCCAGCTTCGAGAATCTAAGTGAGACATTAGATCCCGCACAGTTTCTTTAGCTATTCGGGTCCAATCTTCCCTCACCCCGCTCCTTAAAGTATGCTTGATTAAGAGCAAATAAGAAAAAATACCTCCACTTTCCCACGTTTTCAATGCTACAACCTGATTCATTCAGTTTAAAAAGATTAAAAATTCCAGGTGAGTAAGGCTATCAGTGACCAATGGCCTGTGTGTTGTATTTGGGGGAGCAGGAGAGTTTCTAGGGCAACCAAAGCATCTCTCTCTGTTGTTGAAGATGCTTGCATCGCCATGGCCACTAAAGGTCTCAGCGGCGCAGGTATGTGCTCAGAAATTCAAGGTGAGACCTCAAGCAGCTGAGCTTTTGAGGGACGTGGTCACCTTGATGCTCTGAGCAGAAGCTTTGGATGGCAGAATGCCCCTCCAAACACTTTGCACAGACTTATTAGTTATTATGGCTAATGTATATTTTCCGCAGGAAGAAACTGGGGTCATGTACAAATACGTGGCTAATATACTGTCTTGTCCTTCTGACTGAGCCATGGGTCAAATTAGATGACCGGATATAAAACAAAACAGAATCCTACAGCAGGGAGGTGCCATAAAAGGCCTCTAACTTTCTGCTGCTTTCGTCCCAGTATTCCAATTCAAGCATCCCTTATAGATGGCTGTCAGCCCCCACCTGAAGATACCCAGGAAAAAGAAAGGTAGACCTCTGGTTTGAATCAGCTTATCTTCTGTTTGGAACAGGGTTTTGGTCAGAAAGCCAAAGGCTACAATCCTATGCACTCTTAGGCTCCACGCTTGTTCTGAAAAAGAGCATTTAATTCTGAGCAAACATGGAATGTGATACAGGAACAGCCCAAAAAGCAGATTTAGCTCTGGGTGAAGCATTGTAACAGTCGGCTTCAGAATGAGCAACCAATTAAGGTGGGAATTTCATAAAAGAAGGCTGTGTTCCAGGAAAGAAGACAGGGCAGGAAAGAAACTCATAGTAATTCTTCCTTGATTTTCTTCAGTATAAGACGGGGCAAATAAACAATAAGTTACAATTTCAAGATTGTGTTATTCTGCCCTACAACAATAAAATTAATTTCTGGTATGTCTGCAGTATCTATTTCTTGACCTGGTCTACCTCAAAGGACTGACATTCTGGTATATGGTAACATCTCCTCTGATATTCCACATTTTTTCCAATATAGAAGATTTATTAACCAGAACTACCTTATTTCCAGTTGCTTGCTAACCCAACTTCTTTACTGCAATTTTTTGACGCCTTAAAACCAAAAAAATCTACTGATGACCCAAAGTTTGACTGCTATGCCTAGAAATGCTCAGGAAGTGACGTTAGATTTTCCGAGTCTGCTCCAAACACCACCTCAACAACAGTATTAACTCATTTTCACTCCCTTACAGCTTGGCTCAAAATCTTCAGGTTTTGTAACAATCAAGGGAGAGGGGGGGGGGGAGAGGAAACGGATACCATAAGAAACAATACCAAACTGGTAATACTGGCCAGTCATTACAACACATGTTTCTGAATAGTTGCATATTCTTCCTCTCTGAAGGAAGCCTGAAGCAGTTTCTCTTTCCCTCCCTCCCCTCCCCCAATTATAACTCTCAAAATATAAAATATAGACCATCTGTATTTAATTCGGAAACACACGCTTTTCGAAAATAATCCTTTGGCGACGGTAAGTATAAATCGGGAGCATCTCACAACTCAGTGACAGGAAAGGGAGAATTGGCAGAGAAAAAGATACCCGTGAGAACACTAGACAAGTGTTATGGTCCAGACCAGCTTGAGAGAGAAAGAGAGAGAGAGAGAGAGAGAGAGAGAGAGGGAGGGAGAGAGAGGGAGAGGGGGGGGAAGGCTGTGGGAATTTGAATAAAGTCAGAAGTTCCCAGATGTTGAAAAATCTCAGTGATAACCTTTCAGGCACGAAGGTGCAGAGCCTTTGATGGAACAGATGTCCAAGCCCAGATCCATCAAACTGGAGCACAACCAGACAGGGATAAGACTGCTGCTTTCACGCAGCTCAGGAATGGTTAGCTGAGATCATCTACACGTTAGACAGATGTTGCAAGAAAGAGCAGGCAGGCAGGCATGCAAAACAGGAAATCTTTTTCGCCCTTTCCTCAACCTTTGGGATGCTTTCCAAAGCAGTCCTGATCCAGGGCTTGTATTGTTGCTGTTTTCTTTCCTTCTTCTTTCCATTGCTGGCTGCCATTTAAAAAAATTTTTTTTTATCCATATTCCTCATTCTGGTGTTCTTCAGAAGTGCCAGACTTTTGACTCTCCAAGGACACCAGGATGTCCTTGAATTATGGGAAGTCCAACAGCTCTGAAGAGCAT